GTAGAGTTTCAGGGATAATGATGATTAATTGGCCCTAAACGTTCACTGCAGGGGTTAAAACAAAAAAGTAATTCAGAAGGATAATTGCAACAGAGTCATCGCGCAAACTGCGCAGCCAATGAGGACCGAATAAGAGCTGAGAGCAAGGCTGTATCTGATTACGCAGCACAGAACCTGGGTGGTCACAGGATGGACTGAGGATGTTTACTGTTATTGTGCTATATGCATGAGGAGATAAGAGGCCCAGAGAGATCGGGTCACTGGTAGGAGATCAGGGAGCAAGCAAGTGGCCAAGCCCAAATATGAGGCCAGGATTTACAGGGTCAGCAAACACCTCATCTCCATGCTGTCCGGCCTCCTGTGCTAACAACTGCAACAACAACAAAAACCCCTTGCTTCTCTATGTGGAAAAAAAAAACAGCAACAACAGGAGTGGGGAGGAGGAACAACCTGAACGTCCAATACCACCACACAGGGCCAGCTGATATAACTGTGGATTATTCTCATCAGGGTGAACTGTGTCACCCTTACAGTCACTGTGGGCATGAGAAGCACGTCCCAGTGAGTACAAAGGGCAGGGTATAAAACTCCACTCAACAGCATCTTTGCCCAAGCCATGCCATTTACAAGAAAGGTGTCATCCTGCAGCTGCAGAATGGGGAGGAGCGGCGAGCGTAAAGGTTGCCTGACCTGTGGTCTTCTCAGTAAACACAACCTTGGACTCGGCTGTGAAGTTCTGCCCCGTGAGGATCATCTGCTGGCCCCCGTACACCAGGCAGCTGTCGATGTCCTGTCGTTCAACCATGGGTAGCTCATGGGCAGACCGCTGGGCTGCGGGGGAGAGAAAGAGGAAGAGCCGTGATGAGCGGGAGTCCAGATTTTCACTGTGATGTGACACCTGACCCCGCCCATACCATGCCCTGCTCACCTGTAGCAGCCACCCTGTTGTCATGGCCAGTGGGGGGCCCTCGCCCCTGACCACCTGTGATTCCAAGGGCCAGGCCTCTCCTTAGAGGGGAGGATGAGGTGGCAAAAATTGACATTTTCTTTCTTTTTTTTAATAAAAGGAACGGGCAAACTTATTGTTGCATGAAGTTTTAGTTGGATATATTTTCTTATCTGCACTTGACGGGATTGAGCATTTAAACCAGTGGTTCTCAACCTTCCTAATGTCTTGGCCCTTTAAAACTGTTCATGTTGTGGTGACCCCCCAACCATAAAGTTATTTTTGTTGCTACTTGATCACTGTCATTTTGCTACTGTTATGAATTGGGCAACCCCTGTGAAAGGGTCATTTGACCCCGAGAGGGGTCACGACCCACAGGTTGAGAACCGCTGATTTAAACCATCAGACCCAATTGCTGAAGGTTTTCGACAGATGGGCAGTTTATTCCAGAACCTCTTCCTGGTCTTCAAGACCCCTGTGGATGGCCCAACCCCTCTGACTTGGCGCCTAGAATTGCCCTCACTCTTCCGGGCTCCTTGCAGACACACTATTCCAGACACACCCTTCGTGGGCTCCCCTTGGACAGTTTGTGCTCACTGCTTTTGCCCAGGTGGTTCCAACCCTGTGGTCGCCATGGCTCTCTCCCTCACTTCTTACAGGTTTCCACCCCAATGTCACCTCCTCAGAGGGGCTACCCTGAACCAGCCCCCCACCCCCAGTTCAAACATCGGCACCCGTCTCCACCTCCTCCTCTCCCCCGTGTGGCACTTCACCTTCCCTTTGCTGTTCTTTGTGGAACTGTTCGCTTTGGGGTCTGTTACACAGGTAAATAGCCCCTGTTGGTTTGTCTTTCTGCTGTCCCTCCCCAAGTGCCAGGAGGAAGGGGCCTGACGCTGTGCGCCAGTGAAAAGTCCAGGGCAGGGGAGAAGGTGCCGGAGGTAGGCAGGCAGGTAGGTGGATGATAGATACACACACCCTTCTCAGTAGAAGTATCTGTCTTGA